TTTTTTTCTTTTTTTTTCTTTTAATATTGAACGATCTATGTATCTGAGGAAATATATATTTTTTCTCTTCTCCTCCATTTTCTTTTTGCAAAGAACGAAGATGCGTCAGAAATATAATTTCTGAGAATAAAAATTGTTATTCATTTTCTTCTTTTTTTTTTTTCTCTTTTTTTTTTTTTTTTTTTCTTTGTATGTGTGTAGGCGCGCGTCATCGTCTCTAAGAAAATATTGACTATGTTCTTACAACAAAATCTACGATCTATCTGGAAAAATTGTAGATTTTTAATTCGACAATATTATCGTGAAATCACTTAATGCAATCGAAATTTGTGACATTTATAATTCATATCCTGGAACTGCCATATCAAAAAATTTGAGCTTGATTATGAAAATGATTAAGAATATCGGTTGAAAAAAACAAAATCTACCTGTATATTATATTATCATAAATGAAACGAAATGAGGATCAAAGTAGTTGGTTTAACGAGTAAAGGAAATAAATGAAATGATATATCATTAAATTAGAGGTTTAAAAATATAATAGAACTCAGTATATGTACAGTATTTGAAAAACATGTTTATAATTTGTATGGAAAAAATAAATAATTGATATAAAAAAAGGCTGTTATATTGCTCGATTATAAATCGCTATGTTCTTTTTTTTCTTCTCTCTTACGATCGTTCGCGTTTCTCATCATTTTCTTTTACTTCTTTTTTTTTTCCTTCCCTCTTTTAAATATAATAACAAATGTCCACTTTGTGTGTGTGTGTGTGTGTGTTTCTGTGTTTGTTTGTGTGTGAGTATGTATAAACGTATTAACTTTTCATTTATTTATATTTTTTAATTTTTTTTTCTCTTTTACATAAGCACCAAAATTTTTTTTGCACATTGATAATGGACCCAATTTGTATCTAATCCTTTCATACTTCTTAATCTCTCTCTTCCCCGTATACCCATATGTTTTTAATATTCTTTATATAGCGCAAGTAATCATTATTTCGTCAGTTTGCTCACTTACAATAGATAATATTCATAATATAGAAAAAGAAAAGAAATATATATATATATATATATATATATATATATATATAAAAATTCAACGAGATATTTCCTTTTGAAAAGAAAAAGAAATGTCGCATTGAATTGCCATTGTAAATATTTGTATATAAAATTGTAAATGTAAAATTAATAGAAAGAAATATAAATTTATATATATATGTATATATATATATATATATATATATATATATATATATATATATATATATATAAAGTAAAGAGAGATAATAAAGATTATTACATCTATCAAAGATAAGAATATTATAAGTGGTTTTTTGAGGAAAAAAAAAAAAAAAAAAAAAAACAAAAAAAAATGTGATATCAAATGTTACCCCTTTTTTCTAAAAATCTTGATACACGTCGAAAATTAATCCCGAATAATTTCGTCCTGTCCCCCCCTCCCCCTTTTTTTTGATCCTTTTTTCTTGTTTTTCAATTAATAAGATTATTCCAGGCATGTTTCATCCGATTGTTATCATTATCGGTCCGTCCAATCCGTATTAATTTATTATTGCTGATTGTTGATCCATTAATTTGTGTTTCATTCATTCGATCGAACGTTATTATTTTCATCATTGTTTTGTGGCATCGGTGGTGGCGATGGTATATTAAGAATCATCTGTTGATTCTGTTGATGTATATGCTCGTGTTGTTGTTGTTGTTGATGCTGAATACGATGGACTTCAAGGGCCAATAATTTTTGTCGTTTCTCCTCCATCAATCTTTCACGATGCTTATGAATGTAATCGTAAACGTTTGGCAATCCCATAATAACGCATACTGACAAAGCTGATCGATATATGTTCATGTCGGTTGCTTCATACCTGCATTATAATATGTTTACGTTAATAAAAATTAGAATATTTTTTCTTTTTTTTTCTTTTCTTTTCTTTTCTTTTCTTTTTTCTTTTCTTTTCTCTTCTTCTTCCAATAATCGTTCTACGACAATTGTCTTACCACTCGTTGGTTTTTTCGTCGTAACACTCAACCTGATAAATTGTTGTTACACCGTTGTATCCACCGATGGAAAAAATCATGTCATCTATCACTTCAATCGCAAAATTACTACGAGGATTATACATGTCTGGTATAGAACTCCAAGTGTTAGTAGTAGGATTATATTTTTCGCCAGTACACATTCTTGATATACCATTGAAACCCCCTATACATGATGAAATTTATAAATATCTTTATTATTTTTTACGACGAACGATTTATTAATTTACGATCGATCGTTAAACGTATATAAACATAATTACCAATAACATATACATAGCCGTGATAAGCTATACATGATACACCGCTTCTACGAGATCTCATTGCGGCTATCATCGTCCATTGATTTGTTTCTGGATCATAAACTTCAGCTGAATTGATACACTCGTTTCCATTGAAACCACCGGTAATATAGATTTTGTCTGTATAATAAAATAATTGATTAATAATAATACAAACAATCCTTTTATTTTCTTTTTCGTTGTCCATTAAAGTTTGTGTATAATTTCTTTTTTTGTTTTTTTTTGTTTTTTTCTTTTCTTTCATTTTTACTTACGTTCTTCGTATGGGGGGAAAAGATTTCTTGTTTGTTGTGGAACAAGAAAGGAAGAGAGAAAAAAGAAAGAAAGAAAGAAAGAAGAAAAGAAAGAAAAGAGAGAGAGAGAGAGACAAAAGAAAAATAATAAAAAAATTCTAAAGTGTCTACCATTCAAAGTAGTTGCACTTGCGTCGGATCTCTGGACGTTCATTGGCGCAATCAAGGACCATTGATTCGTTCGATAATTATATCGTTCGGCGGTATTCTGTCTATGGTATCCATCGTATCCACCCATAGCATAAACCAAATCGTTCAATACAGCCACACTGACATAACATCTGCGGATCGACGAAATGAAATGAATCTGATAGAAGTTATTATCGCTGAATAAGTTATATTTAAATCGGGGGGCTAGTCGCTCTAGTAGACTCGAATAGCGAATCCTCGTTATATCAAAGAGGAGGGAAAAAAAGTTTTTTTTTTTTTTACAATGACGACGATCAATGAGAAATGATTAGAGATCGTTTACGAGTTAGCGACTAGCTCCCCCTGAAATATAGTCGACCTTCTGGCATTCATGGGTGCAACCTCTCGCCAGACTTTAGTAACTGCATTGAAACAACGACAGCTGTTAAAATAATCCAAACCGTTGAAACCACCGATTACGTATATATTGAAACCGACTACTGCAGTTCCGTGATAAGCTCGTGGACCACTTGGATCCACTTCTTCGACCTTTGAACGAATTAACGACGAAACGATGATGACAATGATGACGATAATGATAATGATAATGAATGAATGTAATCGAAAAAATTTTTTTTTTTTTTAATAATAACGATTTTTGAATGAAACTAACGTAATTACCTTGACCCAACGATCGGCTCTTGTGTCATACGTTTCAATAAAATTTGTAGCATTACCGCCGCTCCATCCGCCTATAGCGAAAAGAATTTCATGGGGTACTCTAGGACGTGCTATTTCTGGCGTAGGAATTTCTCCGTCCTTTTGCGTGATCATTTCCAAATCATATAAAAATTTGAGCGTCTCTATGATGATGGGTCGACAGGCATCGTTTCCAACGACGTAAGAATGATCCTTAACATTTTCCAAAAAAAATTGCGTGTTCAAAAGGCCCAAACGTATATTTTGCATTAACTCGACTATATGACCCTTTCTAGCATCTGGATCGTGATTGATCCATTTAAGTACAAGCTCCCATACAGTCTCTTCGCTCTTTACATTTAACTCGTCGGCCCCTATCAATCTCGAAAGTTCTTCTATCGGTAAATCAAGTACCTCATTGCTTTTCTGAGCTACCTAAGCCGAAGATATACGTTTAGGTATGATCTTTCAAATATTTTTACGATCGATCGTACCTGAACGAAATGTCTCATGACATAACGATAAGCGTCATTTTCCAAACCCTTGCAAAAATGTTCACGGGCGAATCTCATTATACCGATACAATTTTCCGGTGCTAAATTTTGTCGAAGAAATTCACAACAAATTTCAAGAACACCGAGAATACTTAAATAATCGGCCGTAACTAATAATTCGCAAACGTTATCTCGATTAACGTCGAGCGAACGAAGATAAGCATATTCCAATAACAAATTCATCATTTCACTGGTGACACCTGGTAAAAGTATATCGGTCTTTTCTCGAGAATGCAATGTCGTAGTGAATAGTGCTCTGCAATAGAATTTTGTACAAATTCGACAATCGTAATTCGACGAATTTATCCTCACGAATTCAAATGACAACTACCATTGTCCATTTCTGACCTGAAGTACGTACTGCACGCGGACAGGATCGCACGGTGTATTGGAAATACTCCGCCATCTTCTAATCTCAATACGGCGTCGCATAATAGATTATTCTGACGAAAATCATAAAGCGATTGCATCGCTTGAGTACTCATACATCGGCCACCACTTTCAGCGATCAATCGTTGGGTACTCGTGTTACATTCTTCATTGGTGGCATTGCTATCGCTCATATCCACGTCCATATCAGATAGATATTCTTTAAAAATATCAATATCACGAGAGTTCTCGATGATCGATCAACAGAGATTATTGATTCAGGTCGAAGGTTTGTCTTCGATCGTAAAAATTCTACATAAGTGAAAAATAATGATCCGCGTAATAATAATATTCGTAATAATTAAAAATCATGACAATTTAAATGTAAAACTTTTCATTGAAATTTAATATGAATATGATTTTTCCAATGTACTCACTTTATCAAAATTGATTGAAAATAATAGGTTTTTTTCTTTTTTTTTTTTTTTTTTTTTTTCTTTCTTTTTTTTCCCTTAATAGAGGTTAGAACTTTGAATTTCAATTTTGTTCGGCTCCCGTCGACTTGTAACTTATCGATTTTGATAAGTAAACGTGATTAGTGTCACAAACGTTGAACTATGGATATGTGATTAGTTCGGACAAGGTATGAATTTTTCCGTCACCGATGCGATTCATACGGTCTACAATTTTGTTAGAAGTTTTTTTTCTTTTTTTTTTTTTTTCTCTTTCTTTCTTTTTTCTTTTTTTTTCTCTTCTTTTTTTCTTTTGACACACGTGCACGGACGGACGAGAAGACCGGTCACAATGATTAAGGAAAAACTTGAAAGGGTTCGAATTTGAAATGGGGCGGTATATTGGATTGTATAGGTATGTGGTCGGTTTGGCAAATGGATACAAACTATTTAGTGTGTTTTCAAAAGCGAATAAATGTCGGCTCTGGCTATGACATAGGTCTTACATGTCCGCCGCTTAGTCAAGGACTGTCACTTGACAAATGAGAACCATGTTTACAGAAAGTTTCACGTTATTCTAGAAGGCCTCGTCGCGTTATAAGAAAATGACGTTAGGAATATATGACACATATAGATACGTACATACATGCGATAATTTTGATTGAACAATTTAAATTAACGACGATCACGCCGTTTATACAATTATTATAAACATCGGTTATATACAATATAGATTTATCCGTATCAGAACTAAATAACGTTAAACAACTAAAATTATATTTTACAATAACGATATATATATATATATATATATATATATATATCGAAGTTCTCGTTAAACAACGTGAACATCCTTTTGTACTTTATATTATGAAATATAATAATAATAATAATAATAATAATAATAATAATAATAATAATAATAATTTCTAAATCGTAATATCGTCACAATGATCGCACGTCTTCATCATATACGATAATTAAGTGGGTTCAATCGTGACAATATTATTGTGTTCATCGTTCGACGTTGATGCATTTATCGGACATTGTAATTTCCAATTATTGTCTATGGTAAGATAGTTACCGTCGATAAATTCCATTTTAATATTTTCGGAATCGTCCTTATGGCTCATTTGTATTTTCGGAATTTCGTGGGTATCACGTGATCGTTGATCGAACGTATCGAATTTCGAGGAAAATATTCTCGAACCATCGTGATGATAAGCGAGAAATACGTCACGGAGCATCCAACCGGCGGCCATAATCGTTACAGTTGGATATGAGGTTTCACCTAAGAAATTAGCATTCTCCAAAAAGGTAATCCAACTACCAACGAAGGATTCGTATGTCGATCGGACTTTTTCGGTGTTCGACGTTTCAATATTTTTCTCTCCAAAGATTCTAAATGTCCAAGTTACCACGGCGAAGGTCATCGCGTTAGTAGGAAATGCACGTATTATCGTTGAGTTCAAGCCTCTATAGAGACACATATAACCTTCAGAACGTATAGATTGTCGATAACAATCAAGGGCACCGTTATAACGTTTACTACTTTCCGCTTGTATTCGCGATTTGATTACGTCCAAAGGATATGATATTAACCATGAGGCTGTCCCAGCTAATCCACCGGCTAATAACATTCGTGGTGTTGATATTGGTTCCTTTGATTGCGTAAGTATTTCATACGTTAAAAAATATACACCGAAGCTTGGTGCCTCACGTAAAAATGTTATACCCAATCCATTGAATACACCACGAAATCCTTCCCTTTTATAAATATCTTTTAAACATTCCACCGGTCCTGAATATTTTCTATTCGTCGATGATTGTAATTGCATACGGGTCTTTGCTAACTCTATTGGACTGCTAATAGGTGATTGCGCAATACCAGCCGTTGCACCAGCCCAAAAATGATATGAAAGACGATCCTTATCAGACATGTGTTTTTGTGCCTGTCCGTAAACACCGAATACTATTGCATTGACGACGGCTACTCCTGCCATTGGTGACGTCATGCCTCGATAAAGGCCAAATACCTTAAGTATATTAAAGTATAAGTTTAAAATCTATTATATATTAAATATTATTTTTAATAATATTTAATAATAATAATTATTTACCGATTCCTTCGTGATCAATGTTCTAAGGCAATGAAATGTGCCTTTGTATTTTGGATTTCGATAATCTTGCGTTTGCATATGGACCTTGACCGTATCCAAAGGATATCCCACCATAATACCGGCGCACCCTAAAGGATACAATAAATATATCATATAACGTATATCGATAAAGAGAATTAATAAAATTTCATTAGATTATTAATGATGGACTCTGGAGTGATATTCTTTAAGTTAAGTATTAATTTTATCATAGATAAAAAATGATTTATGTAATTATCTGACTTTTCTTTCTAATCTATCACGTTTTATATTAGTAATCAAATAATAAATATTCATATTATAATAATATATATATTTACTATATACTATATATTACTATATACTATATATTATATACTATATACTATATATTATATATTATATACTTATACTATATACTATATACTATATATTATATATATATAATATATAATATATATATATATAGTAAATATTCGTATCGTTATTAGTTGACCTACGATAACGAAGTCACACGATAAATTATGCGATAAGTCGAGTAAGTAAGTATCGTTAATATTTTTATCTTCGAAAAGTTTTTTCAAAACTTTTCTTCTCTTTTGACCTTATGTACTTGTACATTCCTTTCTATTTCGAATTTAATAGATGTATACAATATTTAACAGCGCAATACTTAACTCTCTCACTCTCTTTCTCCTTTCTTATAAAAATATTGAAAATAAAAAAATTACCTCCCAAACATCCAGCGGCAAAATCGAGTGCCATAATAATTGTTCCCTGTTATTTCTAACACGATTTTTCCACTTCCAAAAGGAATGTCCGTTTTTAAATAGACCGTCTCTAAAGTGTAATGATTTCAGATTTTTTCCTTTTATTGATGCATTGAAGATTTTGTAAGCTACGTATCGATTACTTTCCACAGGCAATAAATCGGGATCCATGAAAGATCGATCACTGCTCCTTTGTACTCGAGTCTGAAATAAAAATTCGAACAAAAGGCTGATTGACGATGGTCTTTGTAAACAATTATAATAATGAAATATTCGTCTTGATTAAAGTATTATATTTGTTGCTTCTGTTTTTTCCTTCCTTTCGTTCCCTTCGAACGAACTTTGAACTATGTAAAATTTTCTTTTTTTTTTTTTTTTTTTTTTTTTTAATATCTTTTAAAATTACACCAAAATATTGCCGTTGACATCGTCGGGATTGCACTTAAAATGATTTTATAAGAGAAACGAACAAAAAGAAAAAAAAATAAAAGAGAAAAGGAGAAAAGCTTTAAAAAAAAAAAAAGAAAAGCGAACGAACGACAATCGCATAGGTTATTAACGCGTATTATAATATATTTATAATTAATTTCTAATAGATTAATTACTAGAATTAATTATTAATCGACAATAATTAATGATTATCATTATTAATTATTATTATTATTTATTTTGTTATTAATAATATAATTTGACTTACTGCTTGGTATGTCATAGCTACATTTCCACGAAACCGCAACTACTCGTTTAATTTCACTTTCGTTTCTTCCACGTCTCGAGGAAACTTTTATATTTCGAAATCTCATCGAACGTAGGATTAATCTTAAATTTTATACGGGAAAACTTTTTAAAGGATAACTTTTCTCGATCGAATTGATTTTATCCGAATGTGTACGATTAATTCACTTAAGAATCCACGATTCGACTAAAAGCTCGATCACATTGAAGACTTCTTTGGAGTCTTGGTGGCAAAGATCATCGGTATATCATCGATACAAAATATTGACCAATACTAATAGTTATCCAACAGTAAAATTTCACTAACATTGGCTGTACTTTATGTTACTGTGGTTATTCTGGAAGGGATGTAGAATGGATGGTAGAGGGGGGGGGGAAGACCTGGGTCAATCGTTCCAAGATAAGAGGTCGTCTTTGGCGCAATCGAATGATTCGGCTACCTCATTGATCCGAGCGATTTACAGAAAAATATTTATATTTTCTTCGTTTAATAAAAATCTTCGTGTTATTATCAAAGTACACACAAAAAAAGAAAGAAAGAAAGAAAGAAAGAAAAAAAGAAAGAAAGAAAGAAAAAAAAAGGAAAAAAAAAGAAAAAAGAAAATTTGATAATGACATGTGTACATTGATAATGAGAACGTTCGAGAACGATGCAACGATTCTATAAAAAGGATAATTCGCAAATTTATTTATATCACGTAATATAGCTACTATAATTAATTGACATATATAAATTTTCATTCGAACATTGACTTTATCTATTCTTCAATTTTCGTATTCTCGACTCGTTATATATTCCTTTATATTGTAAAAGGTATGATAAGTTTGTGAAAAAAAAGAAAAAAGGATAGAAATATAATATTAAAATTTTGATTAGAAAAATCGTATAATAGATCGTTAAATGAAAATATTTCTATTACTTTGTTACTATTAGAAAAGCGTTAGAAAAAAAAAACAAAAAGAAAGAAAAAAAGAACAAAAAACTTTGCTGACGATCATTACAAGCTACTCCTACCCGTGATCTTTTAATAATTATACGAACTCCTGAGTTATCCCACCATTTATACATATGTGACTGATTGTGAGTAATGAATTCGGTCGATAAGTTTGATTCCTTTCTTATTCTAATAAATTAACAAAAGTATCTATGTATATATTTTTTATAATCAAGAACGACGATTAAAAATTGTTATGATAAATGAAACATCGTGTATTAATAATAAATAATCTAAACGAAGTATCAAAAAATAATATTTTAAAACAATAGTTTATATATTTTTTTTTTTTTTGTAAACATTACATAACTCATGACACGAGTTAAATATATAAAATAATTTAATTTAAAATTTAAATGCAGTTAAATTTTGATCTACGTTTCCGTAGATTACATTTAAAATAAAAAAAAAAAAAAAAAATAAATAAAAAAAGAAAAACTAAACAAACAAACAAATAAGCATTTGAGCGATTTTAATATTTATTGATACAATCTTCTCTCGCATTCCG